CCAAAAAAAAAAAAAAAAAAAAAAAATTGAAGGCCAAACAGCTGATTTTCAGAATTACAGTAAACTATAAGACCTATAAAAGAAAAATATATATCCATAGTTTTCAGTAAAGAAGGAATTCTGCAGAAATCCTCAACTATAATTCTTTGAATTTCCAATAACACCCCTTGTCAGAGTGCTGAAAGGTACTTTGAAGGGTTTATTCTCTGTCTGAAGATCTTCAACAAAATCACTCTAATCATAAAAATTACTATCTTATTCTATAGTAACAATACTAAGTATATCTTTTTCAAGATTTTCTAAGAAGCCTATATAATTGGACCATAATAATTCTATTCCTCTCACTTAGTTAACTGCCTTTACAAAATGCTTTTTTAACGTATCTCAAGCTATACCCAAGGACTGACATTAAAAAAAAAAGTCCTAAGTGAAAACCCTCTGTGTTTTCTATAATATTAAGAAATTTCTAAAATATGTTTCACTGTATATTCCTCTGGGTCCCCTATAATTTGAAGACTTATGACAAATTTCTTTCATAACTCAGGATCAGGTGTTAGTCTACTTCGTAATGCGAACAGACAATTATTTTGTTCCCCAACCCAGGGGACATCCAGCAGTGTCAAGAGATGATTTTGATTGTCACAGCGGGGAAATGGAGGGCTAATGGCACCAGAAGGTAAAGGCCAGAGGTGACACTAAATATCCTAAAATGCACAAAACAGCCCCCCACAACAAATAACTATGTGGCACAAAATGTCACTGGTACTGAGATTGAGAAACATCGGCTAGAAAATGACCTACATAATCCATCCTCGTTCCTTCTTTCAGTGGCTACTGACATGTTCAGAGCTAAGTCAGCTAACCCAGGGTTTGCTCTCCCTTCTTTACTTGTCACTTTTCTCCCTACAACATCCCAAGTGCTGTAAGACATTCTGGTTAGTAATGAGTTTTATTCTGGGAAAATATCAGAAATGTCAATTTTAATACCTTTCTAGTAGGTAAAGAGTTATGTATAATTTAATATAATTTAACCAAATACTGTATTAAATTAAGGTTCAGGTAATATTTTATAAGTGAAAAACACAATGTTTCTTACCTTAAATAGGCAACGGCATATATATTCATATACCATATGTTTTAATGAGTTGATGAGAGACTGAATCCTCTGTTCTGTATTTTCAGAATCCTGTAGATTACAATTTGAAAATTAAAAAACCATTAGGAAATTCATGAACATTTAAAAGGTACCCCACAGTTTAATCATGCTTATAAATTGTTCCTCCAGACTCAAAACTGATTCTGGGACAATTATCTTTGGCAATCAGACTCAAGGGACTAGATGAATAAGTGCTTTAAACTTCTACATTAATATAAGGAAAAACTGATGTATTTTTTAATGTATAGATAGAGTTAAAGCTTTCAATAAATGAAAATTATAATCAATTACCAGTAATATCATATGAATTGAATTTGACCATACCACTTTGATTCCTACTGGCATTACAAATACTACATCAATCTGGGTTAAAGCCATTTAATTACTTGTATTATAATTACCAGTCCTGCCCCAAAACAGTATGACCAGAACCATACTGTAAAGAATTTTCTCATCCCCAGTATAGGAACTTAAACAATCTTAAACCATGCCCTCCAGCTTGAATTTGAAATACGTGATGTAAGAATTCATACATAGTTTTAGTTTTTTATCTGCTTTTGTACCTCCATTGTACATGACTGCTATGATTTGAAAAATATCATTAATGGCTATTTTATTTGATTAATTAAAAATGGCTTGGGGTAGGAATAGTGGAGGGGATGTTGTAAAGGCTGGCCTTTTCCCTTGGTGTGATATGAGTGTAATTTTCACTTCATTCTAGGTGCAATTGGAGAATACATGCCTTGCAGAATTTAATTCTGGTATAACATTTAGACAAAATTTGCTTGCTTCCTTGTGATGATAATTGTCAAGGAAAAAAAAAAACTAGCAAAATAATTTTAACAGTTTAGAGAAGTACACCCAGGATGACAGGATGAGCAATAAAATGTGTGAAATTAGCAGAAAACATTGTGACTTGATACTCAGATACATCAAATGTAGGTTTCTGGCCGTGTTAGTAGCATGTTCTAACCAAGAGAGCTCATTATTCACAGTTCATACCACAAACACTTCTCTTAATTTTACTATTTATTAACAAAGATCACATGTGAAATTGAAGCTTAGATCCACTAAAAGACACTCTAATGTGAGACAGAATATAGTACATACAAGGTCCAGTAGATTTTCAATGCATGTATTTCTATGTATTTCAGATTATATTTTTCAAATGAACTCAAATGCCCACCTAAACACACATGTGCATATACACGTACAAACACATGCAAAGGTCAATGTTATTCAATGGCCATATTATCACAGAACTATTGCCACTGAGTAAATACTGAGCTATAAGCTTTTCTAAACAGTACAAAATAACCAGTATTTTTACTAAGTTGAGTTAGACCTTCTTTCTAACTTATTTCTCAGTCCTTATATTGTATAGGGTCATTGAATTTTAACATACAATTATTTTACTAAAAGATAAGAATGAATTTTAAATGAACTTATTACTGTGTACTTTCTAAGTAATTTATACAAAATTATTAATGCAAAAGAAGTTAAGTATACTGACTCTCTAGATTTACCTGTGACACAGCAAATTAGAAATATGATCAATATATCATGAACCAACTCTCACAGACTTTACACTATTACTTTTTTTTGTAAAAATTCTTCTACCAGCACAATATTATAAATGGTTTGATTAAATTTAACATATTAAAATTCAATTTTTTAAAAAACCAAAGGACAAAGAACACAATTATGTATTCTTCAACCCTTTCCTGCATCTTGAAACCTTATCTTTGTCCAAAGGACATTAGATATATACATAGAAGAAATGCTTATCTTGTCCCCCAGGACTGAGATGACAGATTTTACTAACAAAGCCTACCCCCAAAGCAGAAGCTCTTCGTTAGGTGCCATTTTATTTCAAATCTAATGTATGAACAACTTCAAATGATTTACTTTAGTGGAAAAGACATCAGTAAACTTTAATCACTATTTGTAATCAAATAAAGATTTTCTGAAATAACTCATTCATGAAAATATTAAGTCAATGCCATGAAGACAAAGATTTTCTCCTGTTTTATTCTCCATTATATCACCCATGCACCTAGAAAAATGCCTGCCACATGGTAAGTCTGCGATAAATATTAACTGAATGAATAATAATCTTTCCTCAGAAAGAAAGACTTAAGTAAACCTACTCGGATATGAAATTTTACTCCTAACTATCGAAAAGAACAAATTATTCTCACCCAAAATATAATTCTAAAAAACACTTATATTAGTATTATACTGAACACAAAAATTATAAACAACTTGATGAATTTGGTTTCATAAAAATATTTTTTAGGGTCTTCCCTGGTGGCGCAGTGGTTGAGAGTCCGCCTGCCGATGCAGGGGACGCGGGTTCGTGCCCCGGTCCGGGAGGATCCCGCGTGCCGTGGAGCGGCTGAGCCCGTGGGCCGTGGCCGCTGGGTCTGCGCGTCCGGAGCCTGTGCTCCGCAGCGGAAGAGGCCGCAGCAGTGAGAGGCCCGCGTCCGCAAAAATATATATATATATATTTTTTTTTTAATAAATTAAAAAGCAAATTAATAAACCCAAAATATTTACAACATACGACAAAGGTTTAGTGTCCTTAATATATAAGAAACTCTTATAAGTAAAATTTTAAAATACTAATACCACAGAATGTAAAAATAATAATTCACCAAAGAAAAAACACAAATAATCTGATATTTATCTTACAAGTGATATTTATCTTACAAGTGACCAAAGACTTTCAAATATAGCGAAATATTTTTCAATTACCTAATAGGATAATTATTAAAAGTTATATAATATTCATTTTTGCTCAAGGTGTAGATTAAAAAGGCCCCTGTTGTTGTATTAGTTTAATATACCAACAGCATATATTTCCAAAGGATAATTAGACAATATTTGTCTAAAGGCTTACAAATGTGCATTTTTGCCCGAGCTATCCAAGTCTAGGAATTTAACTAGGAAAATAATTGGAGAAACAAAACACTAGGGAAAAAGCCCTGTAAATGTCTATAGCTATTTTAAACATAACCCCCAAATTCTTTGACCCTCCATCCATCAAGAGTTAAAATCTCTTTCCCCTTCTTGAATCTGTGTAGGCTCTGACTGCTTCAACCCATAGAATACAGCAGAAATGACCCAAGTCTGGGTCACAAAAGGCAATTCAGCTTCTGCCTTGTTCACTGAAATACATGTTTGGTATCTCAGTATGCAATATGAGGAATCCAATTACTCTGTGCTGTGAGGAAGCCAAGCTTCACGGAGAGGTGCTGCAGTCAGCAGTCCTAGTCATCAAGTCCACCCACCCCAAGTACCAGATATGAAAGTGAAGCCTCCCCAAAACCACTTGCACTCTCAATTCTTTGCAACCAAGACCCCAGACCTTGTGAAGCAGAGGTAAGCCATCCCTGCAGTGCCCTGACAAAATTCCCCATAGAATCCATGAGCATAAGAAAGAATCAATGAGCATAAGAGAAACATTGTTTTAATCTGCTAAATTTTGGGCTAATAAGATATTCAGCAGAGATAACCATAACACCCTATAGGAGGTAGCTAAATAAAGTAGGGTATAGCCTCACAAGCTCTCAAAAATATTGTGTAGGTTTGTATTTATTGACATGAAAATTGTGTACAATATATTTTTAAAGCACAGTATTATACCTTTTGGTAAAAATTATTTGTATTCTTTAATATATTGTTCCCTCCGTTAGAATACAAGCTTGATAAAACAGTGTATATTCCTGTATTCCCATTTTCTAGAACAATATTGGGTATGTACTATAGCCTCAAACAACAGGGGTATACAATGAAATTTTAAATGTTGTTTTTCCCAGGTAATGGGATTATGTGGACAATTTCTTATCTTTATACCTTCCTGAATCATCCATGCTTTTTTTTAATGATCATCTGAGAAGACAATCATTTATTAATTTATACTCAGAACATAAATCATTTCCATTAAGAGGACTGCCACATTGGGACAGTTTGTTAAAAACATAAAATGCAACTAAGGAGCTAGTTTCTTTTAAATATAGTTTAAAAGTGTTACATATGGTCTTTTGAAACATAATTCCAAGCAACTTTTCTCAGGAAATTATTATAAATTAAGCAGCTAGTAAAGCGATCTCTCTCATTCAGTCTCAGCTATGGGGTAACCAACAGCATACCTGTTTGTTTTGCAGAGCTCGCTGGAAAAGTCGGAGAAATGCAGCCAAACTAAAACGGTACATGTTATTAATTTTTGACAAGTCAGAGATAATGAAGTACATCTTGCTGGCACTCTCAGCCAGAGGGAGATAGGCATCCCGCTCCTGTGGAACAAGGGGTGGGGGTGGGGGGCAGGAAGGGTGACACCTTAGTTCTAATGCTTTACTGCCACCTACAGACTGCTATGCACATATCTAGCCGCAGCCTTACTTTCAACATACATACAACAAATAAAGATTAATCACAGAATTTTATAAAGAAACTGCATAATCCAGCTTTTCTATTTTTAAGTTTTTATACTTCTTTTAATCCTAAGGTATTACACTTTTGTATTTTTATGTAACTGCAAGCAATGTATTCTAAATACTTCCCCTCCCCTCTGATTACAGAGCTAGAAATAGTACATGGGTTGGTTTCAATGAAGACCAAGAATACTTGTATTAGGGGAAAGAGGTAAGCACCTGTATTAGGGTTAAATGGAATGGTAAACAGTTGTGATCAGAGGTCACGTAGGTCATGTAAGACAGCATGGCACTACAGGCTGCCCCTGCAGTGGAGAAAAGTTAGAACAATGAATCTAGTGTTTGGGACTGGTACCAACAAGAACACTGATGGAAGTAGAGGTAGAGTAGAAGACTGTAACGAGTGTCCACATTAAGATAATAAAGCACCTAGCATTGTTCAACATAAGCATAGAACAAACCAATAATCACAGGGGCTTTCATTCTGACTGAAGGTAAATGATGATAAAGATGAAAGGATCATAGGATTAAATGGCCTTGAGGTTATGAACTGAACTCTGAGAAGGCTCTCCATGTCATTCTGATCAAAGCACCAGGATTATAAATATGATACTGGTAAAATTATGTGTGTGACTCAGCGATGCCTGTTCAGAAAGAGAAGGCACAGGAAGTTCAAGATCCTTTTGGTATACAGTGACAGCTATGACATCTGCCAATTTTAGCTATGGTAGAGAAGGTGGGATGACTGGATTGGAAACAGGCTATAAGTTTTTTCTTATTCTGATTTCAACAGAGCTCTTTCTCAAGTGAAGAAAGTAATACTATGTAAGTGTAGAATTTGAGCAACAGCTGAAAAACACCTAAAATAACATTTGGAAAAGTCATTGAGGGAAATGGGAAATATTAAAGGATGTCAGTAAGGGTCCAGGTCAGGTTGGAGACTGGGAATTCACAATAACATTAATCTGCTTCATTGATTTTCTTCAGCAAATCTTTGTCACCGAATGTAGGAGGGAAAAAAAAAGATACATTGTACTGATATAAGGCTGAAATTTTGCTCTAGGAAATGTCAAAAGAATAAAGGAAGAAGGATTTTAACCATTTTTAAGAAAAGAGTTCAGATCAACACATTCATGGCGTCCAGGATGAGTAGGGAAGAAAAATGTTTTTGATGGAAAGAATAGTTTTTAACTCTTTTATTGATATACTTAACTTGCCTTAACTTAAGAAAAGTTCCAGGAATGGCAAAGATGCTCTCTAATAGTCATTTTAAACACGCTCATTTTCAATTTCAGTACAAATTTATAGCTCTAGAACTTTGGATAACATGCCAGAAATCAGTAGTACTCAGCAGGGCTCAATGACCAGCACTCCTTACACTTGATACCCTCAACATCTATCGCCGTCTCTATAATAAGAATTAGACCCAAGGATCTGGTGTTTTTGAATAGCTTTCTTTTTTTGCAGTCATCATTCCCCTGAAGTCCTGTACTAAAATTTTTATCATATTAACATGAAAGTTTAAGAAAACAATATAAGATCACAAAGAAGGAAATATTTACTTGATCAAGAGAAATTTGGAGTTTGTAAGATTCTTTAAGTGACTCCTGAATAAGTGCACTGCTTGCTTTTGTCTGATTCAAAGATTCAATCAAATCCTTATTTTCCAAAATATTGCCTTGAGATGTGGCAAGTGTCTGCAGAAAAATTAATAAAATAATATGAACATTATTATATATATTAAAATAATCAATTAAAAGAAGCCCATGTTAACTATCATTAATTTGATGATGTTTTTGGGAACTTATGTTCTCTTAAAAGAATTTCATTATTTTACAGCCTTCTGTATCAAAAGATACTGTAAATCATTATATGATACTATATCATCAAAACATTGTATATGTATTAATTTTATCAACCTAATAAAAATAAAAACTATTTAAAGTTACAGATCAAATCATAATTTTATGCTACCTTTGAATGTTTTTCTGAGCATAAAATCAAATATTAATGAAATAATACAGTATAAAGATGATAATAGTTAAAAATTGCTTGTCTTAAACATTACTCTTAGAAGTCTTATATTCCAAGACATCTACCTTTTTCTATTTGAATTTTGACTTTAAGATACATATTGATATGTCTTTGATACAACCAAAAACATGCTAAAGGTACTATAATTTTTAAAAAAACAATATTTGATTATAATCAAAATAATATAATATGAAAAATACCCTGAATAGCTCAATTTTACCTCTAGAAGAGATTCTTCAAGCTTAGCTAACTGTATTTTCTTATCTTCTTCCTGTTGTAATAGTTTTGTTTTCTGGTCCTCTAAATCAGGTTTCTCATGCTGAATAGTTAATGCCAACAGCTTAAAAAAAAAATCCAAGGTTATTCTAGCAATAAAGTTCAAACAAAACAAAACAAAATGAAAACTTCCCACAAACAGGCCTTATGTTTGATCAAATATTACAAGTATAATGATACTACTATGTACTTCATTTCATTCTTTCTAGTTAAACATATGAGACAACTTCACAATTATTTCTGACAAAAGAGGCAAACTGAATAGTTAACTAATTGATAAAATGTTAAATATTATAGGACAGCTATAAGAAATTGCATTACTTAACATATCAACATGTAATATTCAGTTCTTAAATTAGATTAAATATATAAAAACTATGGAAGCAAACGCTTTTAATGGTAAGTAGTCACAAAAAGAAATAGTTACCTTAAAATACTATATTAAAATCACAATGAGATACCACATCACATCCACTAAGATGGCTATAATTAAAAAGACAAATGGTAATAAATGTTGCCCAGAATGTGGAGAAAGGGGAACCCTCATACATTATTGGTAGGAAAGTAAAATTGTGCAGCTACTTTGGAAAACTTTGTCTATTCCTCAAAATGGTAAACATAGAGTTACCATAAGACTCAAATTCCACTAAAAAAGCATTGAATTGTAAACTTTCAAGGGGTGAATTGTATGATATATGAACTGAATCTTAATAAAGCTGTTGAAAACTGCTATGTCAAATTCTTCAGTTTGAAACTTTAAAATAGGAAATGACATTTGCATGTCATAAAATATATTAATTCGAAATCTATTGTATAAGCATGTTCATTCAGTTCTTGTTAAAGTAATACCTAAATAGCCCTTTTCAGCAATTACTGTGGAGATCTTTTATATAGAAGAAGCAATTTTGTCAATTCTGCCAAGCTCTGAGTAATCTGTACATTGTTTTATTTATGAGAAGTATCATCAAGCCAATCAAAAGACATTGTTCATAAAAATATGCAGTGAATCATCTAGTATGGTAAGAAAAATATTTTAATAGGAGAGTTATAAAAATTACAATAAAGTAAAAATCATGGTAAATATACATGTTATCATATAAATCAAAAGAGAAAAATGTACTATTGTTAGATGGTAGAAAATAGGATGATACTAAAAAAGTCAACAGGATATCTTTAAAGAGGAAAAATTAGTAAGGGAGTGTATAAGTAAAAATCTGTACATGAAAATCATTTTGCAATTCATGTAATAATTATAAACTGTAATAAGCCACACACAGATAAAGTAAATTCAAACATGCAAATGCTCTAGTCAAAAAAAAAAAATGTTGGATTTGGAATCAAAGACCCTCACCTTGCTGAATAAGTCAATAACTGCAATTTTAACATTTAAACTTCAGTTTTCACAGTTAAAAAAAAATAAAGTTACTAATCTTAACACGTATGATCCTCCATTTCTCAAATTCTAACAAATATGACAGAAGTAGACTGTAAAATTACAGTTATACTGGAAGAAGCAGCAATTTGACATTAGCAACAAATATACAGTTCTAAAACTAATGGAAAATGAAATAAACCCAAATGTGTTACTGATTTGCAAGTATATTTTCAAAATCATGAGTTTAAATGCTAATCAGTTTAACAAAATAGCTTCCCACTCAAACTATTTCATTAGTATACAAAGATACTAAAGATTTCTAAGGCAAATGATTGTCCATATATACCTGTCCTCGTAATCCACTTCTTGTTGTAGTAAAGTTAACCTCAGTAACGATGGAAGCTGCATCCGGTGGAATAAAGGGATTTGGGTTTCTTGTTGACAAGAAAAGGCGAAATTCTTCATTGTAGTCGATAATTTTGTCACCTATTTGTACCACATAACGTGGTCCTGTTTTTTCAAAATGACATAATTAGTTGGCCGGAATATTCTGTATTTTGCTACATGACATTAAAAAATATAATTTTCTAGTACTTCTAAATAGTTTTTACTACAGGCTTTTCGATAGTCCAAAATACAGCAACAGCAAGGCCACCCAAAAGACTATTAATGAGAATGCTCTACTGATCAGTCAGCACTTATGCAAACAAGGATAAATAATATTCATTAATACAATCCTAGGATACTGAAGCATCAAAGGAATATCTACTTATATTCAATATAGTTTTAACATTAACTATATGTTTGATATTACCAATTTTTCTGAAATTTTTGATTATAGATGACAAAAATAGAAACTCTTACTAATTATTCTCTACTTCAAAATTCATCAAAGTGTTTATTGTACTAGTATTTAAGATGTAACACTTGAAAAGAGAATGACCTGGTAAAAACCTGGAATTAACAACATATGAGTAATTGCAGAGAATCCATTATTAACGTCAAAAAAGATTTATTCAGACTGCTGTACACAGGTACTTTGCAATAAATTAAACTGAGAAAAAGTAAACTTCTGCCTCACAAAGGAGTTTTTTTATATTCTAATATGAAACACAATTATTAATTATTAATTATATAACATATACAGAAAAATCAATCAACAATTACATGCATTACTTATGATTTTAACTGATAAAAAATAATTAATTTTTTAGGTAAAAAATACATATTATCAAAGATTATTTTCTAATGTTAAGAAAAACAATGTAATGAATTTTTGAGAATCCTAGATTTTAAAATTTACTTAACTTTTTAAAGTTAATGTGAAAAGAATTCAATATGTACTTTTTGAAAGAGGATATGTAAGTTGTTAAAAAACAATATCAAAATAATGCTGAACTTTAACCATTATTAGTAAAAAAACAAATTTAAAGGTTCAATGTAATAATTCTACACCAACTAGAATGATTCAAGAAAATGCAAGCAGGATAAATGCAAAGAAAACTACTTCTAAGGACATCATAGTAAAACCACTGAAAATCTATGACAAATGCAGCACAACAATAATGCAAAGGCAGGTATTGAGTATATGGAGTAAAACACCAATACTGGAAAAGTTTCAAAGTATTTATCTATATTAAAAAAATAAGTCCCAGATGCATACTGTTTTACACAGGGTAGCCATTAAAAACTATCAGGTTAATTAGAAAAGTACATTAGTTATTGCATGAATTGGTTAACTGTACTACATTACAAATATTAAGACTGCCATGGTGAATAAAAATTCAAAACCAAATGATATACTGTTTATGAGAAACACACTTTATAAAGAAAACCAACAGAAAATTTAAAGTAAAAGAATGGAGGGCTTCCCTGGTGGCGCAGTGGTTGAGAATCTGCCTGCCAATGCAGACAACACAGGTTCGAGCCCTGGTCTGGGAAGATCCCACATGCCATGGAGCAACTGGGCCTGTGAGCCACAATTACTGAGCCTGCGCGTCTGGAGCCTGTGCTCCACAACAACAGAGGCCGCAATAGTGAGAGGCCTGCGCACCGCGATGAAGAGTGACCCCCGCTTGCCACAACTGGAGAAAGCCCATGCACAGAAATGAAGACCCAACACAGCCATAAATAAATAAATAAATAAATACATTGTGTATTATTTAAAAAAAAAAAAAAAAAAAAAGAATGGAAAAATATACCATGCGAACACCAATCCCCAAAATTAGTGTAATCATTCTAATACAAAATTCTAAAACTTGCGATACTTCTAGAGACAAAAGACAGTTGATAATGATAAAGAAAATAACCAAACAGGAAGACAGCACATTCCAAATATGTATGCATCCAAACACACAACTTCAAAATATTTAAAGTAAAAATTGACGGAACCAAAAGAAAAAATTCAAAATCAGAGACTTCTTCTCAATACATGATAGAACAAATAGAAATAAAAAGTAAAGGTATAGAAAATCTGAACGTTACTATTAACAAACTTGAATTAATTGACTTTAGAGAAAATTAAAATAACCAAGAGCAAAATTTACATAATTTTCAAGTGTACATGGAATATTTGTGAATATTAACCAATGCTAGATCATAAAAAAAGCTTCAATAGGATTAAAAAACTGAATACTTCAGAATAAGTTTTCTGACCACAACAGAGATAAGCTAGAAACCAATTCCAAAAGGGTAACTAGAAAATATCCAACTCCCTGGAAATTAAACAACAAAAGCAATAAGTAACTTATGAATTAAAAAAAATACAAACCAAAACTTGTGGTATGAAACTAAAGAAGGGCTTAGCAGAAAGTTTATAGACAAAGAAAATGCATATATTAGGAAAAAGAAAATAATGAATTATCAATACTTTGAATTTCTATTTCAAGAATTTAGAAAAAAGACAACCAAATAAAATCTAAGGAAAATATTAAGAATAAAATAAATAAAAAGCAAAAGTTGAAAATACAATAGAGAAAATCAACAAAAACTGGTATTTTGAAAAAAATCAGTAAAATTGATAAACTGCTATCAAGACCTACCAAAGAAAAAGAGAAAAAAAATTATCAATATCGAAAAAAAAGACACATTATTGAAAAACTCACAGAAATTTTAAAGTTATAAGAATATTATATAAAAACACACCAATATATTTGACAAATTAAATGCAATAGACAAACACCTAAAAAAATTAATCTAAGTTGATATATACACAGAATATAGATTACAAACAAAACTAAATTAACTCAGGGAGAAGAAATCAAGATGGCAAAGCAGGAGGGTGCAGAACACATTAAAAATATGTCTACACGTGAAACAGTTCTCACTGAAAGCTAACTGTAGACTAGCAGAACTAGAAGACTATAAGAAAGATAGAATTGGGTATAAAGGGATGAGAAGCTATCAGGTCTGGACCTAGGAGGGGACTCAGAAGAAGAACGATCACACAGGCAGAGATCCTCTCTAGGGAGTAGGTGGTTTGAGTCACAAATTGGGCACCCTTGTCCAAAGGTCAGACACTGAGAATGTGAGTCTCCTTGCTGTTTGGAGGGCTGGGGGAACTAACAGGAGGGCTGTGAGAAGCCTGGACTCCATTCATGAGGAGCACATCCTCACTTGCTTACTTCCAAAAAAGGGCAGAGAGGGTGGATTGAAACTGCATGGGTGGCTGACTCGTTTCCTGTGACTGCCCCAGCACGCATCCCACTCTAAGTCTAGCAACTGCTCCAGCCTCACTGGGGTAAGGGCTGCTACAGCTGAGCAGAAAGCTCAGCTGTGAGAAACAAAAGCAACACAGACCTAAAGCGTGTCTGAGCAGGGTGGGAGCAGCCATTACTGGTGCTTACACAGGCAGCACATTAGAGCAGCCATGATTTCTGTCTGTGGTCAGACAGCCACAATTCGCACCCAGACCAGTACCAAGTACCCATGCCAATCCCTCTTGCCCAAGCACTGCTCCCCTCCTGGGCAAGAATGTTGGTGCTAGGATTGAGGAGAAAACAGACTTCAAGGGAATGGAGCCAGCTCGGACCCAACCCTCAAAACTTCTGCTCCACACTATTTACAACAGCCAGGACATGCAAGCAACCTAAGTGTCCATCAACAGATGAATGTATAAAGATGTGGCACATATAGACAATGGAATATTACTCAGCCATAAAAAGAAATGAAATTGAGTTATTTGTAGTGAGTGGCTGGACCTAGAGTCTGTCATACAGAGTGAAGTAAGTCAGGGACAAATAAATACCATATGCTAACACATATATATGGAATCTAAAAAAAAACCAATGGTTCTGAAGAACCTAGGGGCAGGACAGGAATAAAGACACAGACACAGAGAATGGACTTGAGGACACCGGGAGAGGAAAGGGTAAGCTGAGACAAAGTGAGAGAGTGGCATGGACATATACATACTACCAAATGTAAAACAGATAGCTAGTGGGAGGCAGCCGCATAGCACAGGGAGATCAGCTCAGTGCTTTGTGACCACCTAGAGGGGTGGGATAGGGAGGGTGGGAGGGAGACACAGAGGAAGGGGATATGGGGATATATGTATACGTACAGCTGATTCACTCTGTTACACAGCAGAAACTAACACAACAATGTAAATCAATTATCCTCCAATAAAGATATAAAAAAAAAGAATCCAACAAAAGAGAGAAAAAAAAAACAAACTTCTGCTCCAGCAACTTGGGAACAGACCCCACCCCCTACAGAGCAGTGATGGCCACTGAGCAGAGAAAAAGCCCCAGCTACACCTGGCTCTGATCTAACAACTCCATCTCCAGCCTCCTCCCAAGGTGATAGATGCCAGCAAACCTGAGGAAAGACATGTTCTGTGTTCACATCAGATTCAGCTCTCCCACAAAAGCCACTGGGCACAAGCAGACTGTACCACACAAAGGCATCCATTAAAGACTGCAATAGGCAACAGTTTCACCTAATTTCGTAAAGACAGAGAAAGTTAAGCAAAATGAGCAAAGGAATTTGTCTCAATTGAAAGAGCAAGAGAAAATCCCTGAAAAAAACAACTAATGAGACAGAAATTAAAAATTTACCAGATTAGGAGTTCAATGCATTAGTAATAAGAAAATGCTAACCGAAGCAGGGAAAAGAATAGCTGAACACAGTGAGAATTTTAAAAATGAAGTAGAAAATATAAAAAAGAATTAGTTAGAATTGAAAAATACTGTAACTGAAATGGAAAACACAACAGAAGGATTAACAGCTGACTAGGTGATACACAAGAACAGAAAAGTGAACTGGAAGATAGAATAATGGAAATAACCAAATCAGGAAAGGAAGGGAAGAAGGGAGAAAAGGAAGGAAGGAAAGAAGGGAGGGAGGGAGGGAGGATGAAAGAAAGAAGAACAGTTTAAGGGATCTCTGGGACAACATCAGTTGTACCAACACTGCATTATATGGGTCCCAGAGGAGAAGAGAGAAAGAATGGGGTAGAAAATGTATTTGATGAAATTATAGCTGAAAACTTCATAAACCTGAAGAAGGAAACAGATATCCAGGTACAAGAAGCACAGAGGGTCCCAAACAAGATGAACTAAAAAGACACACACCAAGACATATCATAATTAAATCAGCAAAAGTTAAAGAGAAAATTCTAAAGGCAGCAAGAGAAAAACGAAGAGTCTCATACAAGGGAACCTAAAGAAGGTTACCAACTAATATTTTTGCAGAAACTTTTCAGGCTAGAAGGGAGTGGCATGATATACTCAAAGTGCTGAAAAGGAAAAACCTGCTAACCTACAATAGATATACAAAAATTAGTGAGAAAGAAACACAAGCATACCATGAAAGGAAATCATCAAACCACAAAGGAAAAATCTAAACGAAGAAAAAAAAGAACAATAAAGAACGCAAAACTACCAGAAAACAGGTAACAAAATGGCAATAAGGACATACCTATCAATAATTCCTTTAAATGTCAATGTAATAAATATTCCAATCAAAAGACATAGCGTGGATTATTGGATTTAAAAAGACCCATCTATGTGCTGATTATATACAATGGAATATTACTCAGCCATAAAAAGGAATGAAACTGAGTTATTTGTAGTGAGGTGGATGGACCTAGAGTCTGTCATACAGAGTGAAGTAAGACAGAAAGAGAAAACCAAATACCTTATGCTAACACATATATATGGAATTAAAAAAAAAAATGGTCAGAAGAACCTAGGGGCAAGACAGGAATAAAGATGCAGACCTACTAGAGAATGGACTTGAGGATATGGGGAGGGGGAAGGGTAAGCTGGGACAAAGAGAGAGAGCAGCATGGACATATATACACTACCAAATGTAAGACAGATAGCTAGTGGGAAGCAGCTGCATAGCACAGGGAGATCAGCTCAGTGCTTTGTGACCACTGAGAAGGGTGGGATAGGAAGGGTGGGATGGAGGGAGATGCAAGAGGGAAGAGATATGGGGACATATGTATATGTATAACTGATTCACTCTGTTATAAAGCAGAAACTAACACACCATGGCAAAGCAATTATACTCCAAAAAAGATGTTAAAGACGGAACCAAAAGAAAAAATTCAAAATCAGAGACTTCTTCTCAATACATGATAGAACAAATAGAAATAAAAAGTAAAGGTATAGAAAATCTGAACGTTACTATTAACAAACTTGAATTAATTGACTTTAGAGAAAATTAAAATAACCAAGAGCAAAATTTACATAATTTTCAAGTGTACATGGAATATTTGTGAATATTAACCAATGCTAGATCATAAAAAAAGCTTCAATAGGATTAAAAAACTGAATACTTCAGAATAAGTTTTCTGACCACAACAGAGATAAGCTAGAAACCAATTCCAAAAGGGTAACTAGAAAATATCCAACTCCCTGGAAATTAAACAACAAAAGCAATAAGTAACTTATGAATTAAAAAAAATACAAACCAAAACTTGTGGTATGAAACTAAAGAAGGGCTTAGCAGAAAGTTTATAGACAAAGAAAATGCATATATTAGGAAAAAGAAAATAATGAATTATCAATACTTTGAATTTCTATTTCAAGAATTTAGAAAAAAGACAACCAAATAAAATCTAAGGAAAATATTAAGAATAAAATAAATAAAAAGCAAAAGTTGAAAATACAATAGAGAAAATCAACAAAAACTGGTATTTTGAAAAAAATCAGTAAAATTGATAAACTGCTATCAAGACCTACCAAAGAAAAAGAGAAAAAAAATTATCAATATCGAAAAAAAAGACACATTATTGAAAAACTCACAGAAATTTTAAAGTTATAAGAATATTATATAAAAACACACCAATATATTTGACAAATTAAATGCAATAGACAAACACCTAAAAAAATTAATCTAAGTTGATATATACACAGAATATAGATTACAAACAAAACTAAATTAACTCAGGGAGAAGAAATCAAGATGGCAAAGCAGGAGGGTGCAGAACACATTAAAAATATGTCTACACGTGAAACAGTTCTCACTGAAAGCTAACTGTAGACTAGCAGAACTAGAAGACTATAAGAAAGATAGAATTGGGTATAAAGGGATGAGAAGCTATCAGGTCTGGACCTAGGAGGGGACTCAGAAGAAGAACGATCACACAGGCAGAGATCCTCTCTAGGGAGTAGGTGGTTTGAGTCACAAATTGGGCACCCTTGTCCAAAGGTCAGACACTGAGAATGTGAGTCTCCTTGCTGTTTGGAGGGCTGGGGGAACTAACAGGAGGGCTGTGAGAAGCCTGGACTCCATTCATGAGGAGCACATCCTCACTTGCTTACTTCCAAAAAAGGGCAGAGAGGGTGGATTGAAACTGCATGGGTGGCTGACTCGTTTCCTGTGACTGCCCCAGCACGCATCCCACTCTAAGTCTAGCAACTGCTCCAGCCTCACTGGGGTAAGGGCTGCTACAGCTGAGCAGAAAGCTCAGCTGTGAGAAACAAAAGCAACACAGACCTAAAGCGTGTCTGAGCAGGGTGGGAGCAGCCATTACTGGTGCTTACACAGGCAGCACATTAGAGCAGCCATGATTTCTGTCTGTGGTCAGACAGCCACAATTCGCACCCAGACCAGTACCAAGTACCCATGCCAATCCCTCTTGCCCAAGCACTGCTCCCCTCCTGGGCAAGAATGTTGGTGCTAGGATTGAGGAGAAAACAGACTTCAAGGGAATGGAGCCAGCTCGGACCCAACCCTCAAAACTTCTGCTCCACACTATTTACAACAGCCAGGACATGCAAGCAACCTAAGTGTCCATCAACAGATGAATGTATAAAGATGTGGCACATATAGACAATGGAATATTACTCAGCCATAAAAAGAAATGAAATTGAGTTATTTGTAGTGAGTGGCTGGACCTAGAGTCTGTCATACAGAGTGAAGTAAGTCAGGGACAAATAAATACCATATGCTAACACATATATATGGAATCTAAAAAAAAACCAATGGTTCTGAAGAACCTAGGGGCAGGACAGGAATAAAGACACAGACACAGAGAATGGACTTGAGGACACCGGGAGAGGAAAGGGTAAGCTGAGACAAAGTGAGAGAGTGGCATGGACATATACATACTACCAAATGTAAAACAGATAGCTAGTGGGAGGCAGCCGCATAACACAGGGAGATCAGCTCAGTGCTTTGTGACCACCTAGAGGGGTGGGATAGGGAGGGTGGGAGGGAGACACAGAGGAAGGGGATATGGGGATATATGTATACGTACAGCTGATTCACTCTGTTACACAGCAGAAACTAACACAACAATGTAAATCAATTATCCTCCAATAAAGATATAAAAAAAAAGAATCCAACAAAAGAGAGAAAAAAAAAACAAACTTCTGCTCCAGCAACTTGGGAACAGACCCCACCCCCTACAGAGCAGTGATGGCCACTGAGCAGAGAAAAAGCCCCAGCTACACCTGGCTCTGATCTAACAACTCCATCTCCAGCCTCCTCCCAAGGTGATAGATGCCAGCAAACCTGAGGAAAGACATGTTCTGTGTTCACATCAGATTCAGCTCTCCCACAAAAGCCACTGGGCACAAGCAGACTGTACCACACAAAGGCATCCATTAAAGACTGCAATAGGCAACAGTTTCACCTAATTTCGTAAAGACAGAGAAAGTTAAGCAAAATGAGCAAAGGAATTTGTCTCAATTGAAAGAGCAAGAGAAAATCCCTGAAAAAAACAACTAATGAGACAGAAATTAAAAATTTACCAGATTAGGAGTTCAATGCATTAGTAATAAGAAAATGCTAACCGAAGCAGGGAAAAGAATAGCTGAACACAGTGAGAATTTTAAAAATGAAGTAGAAAATATAAAAAAGAATTAGTTAGAATTGAAAAATACTGTAACTGAAATGGAAAACACAACAGAAGGATTAACAGCTGACTAGGTGATACACAAGAACAGAAAAGTGAACTGGAAGATAGAATAATGGAAATAACCAAATCAGGAAAGGAAGGGAAGAAGGGAGAAAAGGAAGGAAGGAAAGAAGGGAGGGAGGGAGGGAGGATGAAAGAAAGAAGAACAGTTTAAGGGATCTCTGGGACAACATCAGTTGTACCAACACTGCATTATATGGGTCCCAGAGGAGAAGAGAGAAAGAATGGGGTAGAAAATGTATTTGATGAAATTATAGCTGAAAACTTCATAAACCTGAAGAAGGAAACAGATATCCAGGTACAAGAAGCACAGAGGGTCCCAAACAAGATGAACTAAAAAGACACACACCAAGACATATCATAATTAAATCAGCAAAAGTTAAAGAGAAAATTCTAAAGGCAGCAAGAGAAAAACGAAGAGTCTCATACAAGGGAACCTAAAGAAGGTTACCAACTAATATTTTTGCAGAAACTTTTCAGGCTAGAAGGGAGTGGCATGATATACTCAAAGTGCTGAAAAGGAAAAACCTGCTAACCTACAATA